AACTTTGTACAAAAACAGAACTAAGTACTATGCTATAAATAATCAGTGTAACTTTGTATTTAACATAAGTCCTATTATATAATTAACCAAAATAAGCACTATCTTATATAAATAATCAGTGTAACTTTGTTTATAACAAATATATTAATGACCAAATGATGTCATATTATATAGATAACCAGTGCTACCTTTTATATATTACTAGAATAAAATATATGAATAACCAAATGATGTCATATTATATGAATAATCAGCGTTACTTTGTATATAACACAAGAGCAAATATATAAATAACAAAACTAAGTCCTATTGTATATCATAAGTACTACCACATATGTAATGAATGTAATTGTGCACACAATTTGATTTGATTATATAATTAGTAAGTATATTTTAGTTCTGAGTATATATACTTTTATATGACTTATCAATTTAATTCCGTTTAACACAACACACGTACTATTATATAAATAGTGAACTCTTCACAAACTTTTCAGGATATTTCTATAGTTTCTGTCGAATTAGTCAAGGTAATTTTTATAGGTCTTAATCGTGTTTATATTTAAAAAATACGAGAGCCATTTGTCAGGTTTAAATCGTGTAAAGTGAGGATTTTTCAAGAAATTTAATGATTAACAAAATTACTTTTGATAGAGATTACGAAAAATAATAAAAAAAAAATTGTTGAGAAGTGTATAATATTAAGCCATCACTTGAATAGCTGTAAGTCTGACAGTGTTAAACCCAATTATCCTATTGATCATTACAGCATCATAAATAGAGATTCGTTATCCCGCTCTGAATGTTAAAATGTTTATGACTATGACAAAAGCAATATACTCTACATTCAGGTGTCACACGATACCATTAAAAAACCTCAACGACAGAAAAAAATGATAAGGACCGCTTATATTTATATAAACATTTTTTCAGAAAAAGTTGTGATCGTTATAGGCAGACTATGATCTACATTTGTGTTTGTGACCCGCTCGTCACAAGTATTTATTGTGCAGCAACTATCATTTTCAGTTATTAAGACAATACAAATAAGACATATTTAACAGAAAAAAACTCTACTTAATTAACTGTTTTTGTTTCAAAACAGTTTGCTTATGTTCATGTGTAATTGGATACAGGCCAATCTATTGAAATTAAGTTAAGTTTATACTAAAAATAGTTAAAGGAAAACACTTCTCTGTGAAAGAAATATTATGAGATCCAACAAAGCGAAATCAACCCGTTTATATTCCAACCTCAAAACATTGAACATATACCATTATTATTATTTTTATTACACTAACGTATAGTAACAATAACTATAAATGATAAACGTACAAGCACAAGTTTTATAAATCACCAAAGGAAGATAATGTACACTGAACACTAAAGAGCATGAGAATGCATGGTTAGTAATCAAAATTTCTATCAATTTGAATGAATTATACAAAATATGAAAATATAACAAAAGTGCGACAATAATTCTTTAATAATGTTAATTAGTCTAACCGGTTCTCATATTTCTATTCTCATTCTTGCCTGAAACGAAACATTTTCAAACAACAACGTGAAAACATATCAATAAATATACTGTCATCGGTTAATATACTCATTTCGACTACGGTCGATCATACCAAGTATAGATCTCAGCAAATGGCTATACTTGTATGTATGTTACTATAACGTCACATTGACATTACGTGTTCCTGGAAACATCACTAAGTATACATATTATACCATAATTTTTAGAACCAAAGCTATCGGAAAGGATTTTGTTAGAAAAACTTTGCAACCTTTCTATAGGACTCAGGTCTATTCTCTTGCATGGTTTATCGTCGTTTATAGCATTGGCGACAACTTCAAATGAATTGAAATATCTAACAAAGTATTTATTTCTATTTTTAGAGCAATCGACTTTCGGCGAAGTGAACCAACTCGGAGGTGTGTTCGTCAATGGGCGTCCCCTGCCTAACGCCATTCGTCTTAGGATCGTGGAACTGGCTCAGCTCGGAGTACGGCCGTGTGACATCAGTCGGCAGCTCAGAGTGTCGCATGGGTGTGTCAGTAAGATACTAGCTCGTTATAACGAGACGGGGTCCATACTTCCTGGGGCCATTGGCGGAAGTAAACCCCGGGTTACCACCCCTAACGTAGTGAAACATATAAAGGTGTACAAGGAACGAGACCCTGGGATATTCGCCTGGGAGATTCGTGACAAACTACTGGCGGACGGTGTATGTGACAAGTACAATGTTCCTTCAGTCAGCTCAATAAGTCGTATTCTCAGGAACAAGATAGGGGGTGG